CTCCCGCCCGCACGGCCCTTGGGGTCCGGCCCCTCCGCCCGGGCTCAGCCCACCCGCACTGGGGCGGGAAGGGATCCCCCCCGGCTCAGACTGGTCCGCACTGGGGTGGGGGGTGGGTTTGCTTTTCTCCGCATTAGGGGCAGAAGGAGATTTCCCCCCCTCCCCAGACTGGTCAGGACTGGGGGTTGCCTTGCTCTGCAGCAGGGTCCTGGCCTCAGCCCGGGCTCCCAAGTGCATTAACAGCCTTTCATAGGGGCCAGACATCGGCCCCCGCGATGTCCGACTCCACATCGGGGTGTCAGTTGTGCAGCGTTTAAATGACAGATGTCCCCGGGCTGGTTTGGACGGGGCGGACCCTGCCCCAGACTCCCCGCCAGCCTGGCTCCTGCGATTACGCTGCTCCATCCCAGGCAGTAGAGCGGTGCCCCTGTGCAGCACTGACCCCATCCCCTATTTATTCCCGACAGCCTCGGGGTAAGCAGCATTGCCCCCTCCTGCCTGGAGCTGCCCAGGGACACAGAAGACACCCCGGCGACTCGAGGCAGGGACAGACACATCCCTGAAAGGAAAGGGCCCAGGAACCATAAGGATCCCCCAAGTTTGGGGCTGCGGCGATTCGGGACGGAGGCTTTGGACACCACCCGCCTGGCGGCACCAGAGCGGCAGACCGCTTCCAGCATCCTGCTGCTGGGTGTTTTCCTCGCGGCCCCAGCTCGCGGCGTGAAGGGGACACAGGGGACGACGACACTTGCGTCCACACTGACCGCCGCGGGTTTCTAGCCCCAGCGCTTGCAAAAAGCTTGAATGCGTGAGTGCACCCTCCTCCCCCCAGACCCATTGGGAATATGTCCCTTTGGTTCGGCCGATCCTTGTGTTTGTGGCAGGACAGGATTTCTGTCCTCCCCTATCAGTGTAGATACCGGCCAACTAGGAAAGCACGAACAGAATTTGCAGCCGGGGCAGAGGAAGGGGGATAAAGACGCACAGAAGAGGAGGGGCTCGGATCGGTGCGGAGGCAGACAGAGACGTACCACGACTCACCCCACACGGCCTTCAGAACAGGAACACTGTATTGACGGACTCTACAAAAAAAGGTGTTACAAAGGCATGACTACACACCAGCAGCTGACATGACACAGAGGAAGAGACACCTAGTTACAGTCACCTCGTTAACGACGACACTTAGCTCCTGCAGCGTTCGACCGATATGTACAAAGATGTCTGAAAAGGAGGTCCGTTACCTCCGACGTCTAAGGGTTTTAGTTCAACCGTGAGATATAGCGCCACGTGTTTCGTTGCCGAATAATAATAATAATTATAATAATAGAATACTAGTTTGTCTACGTGATTACCTAAAAACAAGCAAACATCTCTTTACAGGGGTTAGCAGAAGTCGCTTTTCACTCCTCTGACCTACCTGAGTTTGTGACCAGACCCAGTAAAAGTCACCGTCGGTAGGAGCTCGTGTGAACGGAGGGCTGGCGCCTGTCCTTCGGGCCAGACCCGGATGCAGCCTGCTTGGGTCAAGTTATGCCCTTCAATGAGGACGCAGTCCTCTCCGTGGAGAAATCCTCTTGCTCGAGTGAATGCCCCACACACCTACACCCTTCTCTCTCCTTCTTCCCCCCCCTTCTTCTCTCCCCACAGCCCCTTTCCTCCTTCCTTGCTCTGTATTCTTCATCATTGTTGCCTCCCCAGCTCAATTCTTGCTCCTTCTCCTCTCCCTAATCCCAGCCCTGCCCCCGCGGCACAGCAGCACTGTTCAGGGTGTCTTAACAGAGCCCGCGGCTGGGGAACGGCACCCCCAACTCCGTGCTTCCAGCTCTGGAGTGGGAAACGGGGGCCTGGAAAACTCCGATCATGCCTGAATGTGCCTGGTAGGTGGGAACAGCTGCTCAAACCCCCTTGCCGCCACTCTGGAGAACCATGCACCGCGATTCTCTCGGGGGGCGGGGATCCAAACCCGTGCAGGGGAATAGCTAAAAACTATGCAAGTCCCACATGACCCTAGGTGGAGGGCGGCGGCTCAGCCTGGCTACGGACAGTTATAAAGAGGAACGCCGTTTAAACTTCAACAAAGCCGGCTCGGGAGCACGATGACGCGGGGAAGCAGTGGACTGGGGGTCCCTCTCCATGACACTGCCCTTGGCTGGCTTCCCTCAGCCCAAAACGCAACAGCCCGTGCATCCCCGCCGTGCCCGGCGCTACGGCTTGCTTTCCTTCTTCACGAAGAAGTGGCCGGTCTGCGTCCCCGTCTCGGCGTGTTGCGCGTCCTCCGGGGTCGGGGCGTTTGAGGTCCGCGTGTGGATCTTCTGGTGGCAGTTCAGGGACTCCTTGTAGCGGAAGTGCTTCCCGCACACGGCGCACTGGTAGGGCGTCTCCCCGGTGTGCACACGCCAGTGCTTCAGCAGGTGATCCCTCCGGATGAAGCTCTTCCCGCACTGCGTACACTGGTAGGGCCTCTCGCCCGTGTGGATGCGCTGGTGCCGGATGGCTTTGGACAGGTCCCGGAAGTCCTTGCCGCAGTAGGTGCAGGTCAGTGGCCCGTCCCCCTTCCCCGTATGCAGCTTCTGGTGGAGGATGAGGCTCACCTCCAGGCTGAAGCTCTCCTTGCACTGCGTGCACGTGTAGGGTCGCTCCACCATGTGGTTGGCCTGGTGCCGGACGAAGCTGTACTTGACGTTGCCGCCCCGCTCGGCCTCGGGGCGCTTGGGTGGCTTGGCACGGACGGGCGCCTGGGTTCGCGGGGAAGGTGCTTTGGGCTTTTGCCGGAAGCTCTCCCCGGGCTCCAGCAAGGGGCAGGTGCCGCCCAACCCATGGACCTTCTGGTGCGTGGCAAAGAGTTGCTTGTCTAGGAAGCTTTCCCCGCATTCGCAGCAGATGTACGGCCCCTCTGCAGCGTAGGCCTCTTCAGAGGGCTCTTTCTTCACGGCATCCTTCCCCCGGCGAGCTGAACGGCGCAGCCCGGGACCCAGCGGGCTCCTCTGCTGCGCTGTTGCACTGCTCCGACTCTTGTTGGGTGGCTTCACTTCCTCTGTGGGGCTTGGGAAACCCTCTTCCCACTTCCCTGGTACCATGCTGGAAAGCTCTGGGTTTTCGGCACTGTCCTCATCACCCGGCTGCACATCTGCCAGAACAGAGAGAAAGACGGGGGGTAGGGGTGGGGACCATTTCATTCCTCAGAGACACTGAAAACCTGATGACTGAGGTGACAAGCTCTCTCTTGTCAGACAGCAATTGGCACAACACAGTCATGGTCCCCCCTGGGGAGCTCCAGGAATACAAGGCCAAAATATTCCTGAGTGTCATTAAGGTCTGGGCACCAGGGTAGTAAGGTCTATGGATATAGCGAAGGGAGATAAAGCAGAACAGACCTTTGCAGATGGGCGGTTATAGTTTGGAGTGAGGAAAAAAAGTAAAAATAAATGAGGGAGCAACCACTTTTCCTTCGGGCTTTGTACAGCCCCTAGCACTATGTGCCTACCACAGATAGCAGTAAACAGAAACCACCGAACACCAGTGACTTGACGTCTGGCAGATATCGGGGTCTGCAATTCAGAGACGCAGGAACGCCGCAGATGCTGTCATTCTAGGCGGGGCCTGAAAACACCGATTTCTGCAGAAATTTGGATTTGAAAAGCTATAGGCTTGGCTTCCAGCACGGCCCAGCAGTGAGGCTGCCCGCCGCTTCCCATGGTAAGGACCTGAAACGCAGCAAGCCGGGTGTCTGCCGCAGGCCGATTCTTTGCTGTGAAGTATCAGCCAACCCAGCTCAGCTCTTTCTGAAAGCAAGGATGCTGTATGCATTGCTTTGATGGGCTAAAGCAATCCCCGTACCCTTTCCCTTGCAAAGTGCCAGTGACCCCAAGGCTGTGCCATGTGCCAGGGCAGAGGCTGACCTCTGTGTCAGGGCTGTGCTTATCAGACTGCAGATTCCCACCCCCCACAAAGTGGTGAAGCATGGTGTCTTTTAATTCTGGAATTTCCTCATTTCTAGCTTCCTGATGCTGCAGCCTTGCTGCTCTTAGTGTGCATGAGTAAGCTTCACGTATTAATACCTTAACCTTTCCTTTGCTAGAACGCCGTGGTTCTCAACGTTTGTAGACTCAAGGCACCCTCAGCAGATGCAAGGCATCCCTTGGACAATATCAGTTCTCAGTTTTCCCTTGGTGTTTGGCAGGGTGGATTTGACTGAAATCATATCAATTTAAATGGTGATTAAAATCACTGGTCAGGAAGCCTCAATTTACTCATAGGCAGGCAAGCTTCTTTGGGTAGATGCGATATCTTTTATTAGACCAACTGAGTCATTGGAAAAAAGTTCTTGGCAAGCTTTTGGGCGCAGTCGCCCTTCGTGAGGCATGGGGAGTCTGCTGGTCTGAGACTCCAAGGAATGAGAGAAGCTAAAACTGTGGCAGGATGTCAGTGAAAATATAAATAGGTAGAAACAGAAAAACAAAAGGTAAAGCAGGGAAGGGAGGGAGAAGAAAGCAGGGGACAAAAAAGGCCAAAGGGAAAGCACTACAATGGTAATAATACAAGGTAAAAATGTCTTTAGACCAACACGGCTACAACCAAAACCCCAGCAATGTGGAAGATATCAATTTAATCATTGTCGTTTGATTTCCTTTATTCATTTAACTTCTTGAAACTCTGCACTTTTAGAAAGAGGTAAGGGCTTGACGGTGTACACAAACGTGCAGAGACCAGAGGGCTGATGGGTGGGTATCAGGCCTGTTCTCTCTCATCGCCACACACTGCTGTTAACAAGGACGTGATCTCTGGAGACGACAAACTCTCCCTATGCCTGAAGAACGGCTATTTAGTTGGTCTAATAAAAGATCTCTCATCTACCCAAAGCACCTTGTCTGCCCATGATCTCTGGAGATGTACACCCACAGTTTGAGTCTGAAACGAGGCATCACCGAGATGTTTATGGGATCTTCTAGACTGAGCACTACGTCCCACTGGGTAGAACGATTTTCTTTACTCTTTACTAATCTGTAGAGGAGCCTCTGGGACCCCGATAAGATTGGGCCCCGAATACAGCCCATGGCCTGTTGTGACCTATTTATAAAACTTCTGAAAAGGTTACATGAATAGATTGTCTCAAATAGTATATACCTAGAAGTTATAATCCCTACTTCATGATGGTATCTTTGCGCTTTAACAGATCTTAAATTAAAACTACTTTTTATAAGTTTATTTTTTTTAAAAAGCATTTTAACAAAAATATGATTAAATTAAAAAAAATCTGTTTTTTAATTTTTTTAAATGTTGATTTTTATCCACCCTGGTGTTTGACTACAGACAAACCCCAGAGCAATTCTTCTGTTGCAAAGAACTCAGACTGCAGCAGGGCAGCATGTTTTTAACACTCTGGATTCCTAGTTGAAATCTCTGGGTTTATCAGGTGAATCATGCGTGCACACCTAATTGTGCTAGCATCGTGTGGCACCCCATGGCACCCTTGAAAGGAGCTCAAGGCCCCAGGGTGCCCTGTCACCTCGGGTGAGAATCACTGCTGTAATGCAAGAAGAAAATATAGTGGGACGTGGGACCTGTCATTTACAGGCCTGGCATAAGGCAACGCCCAATATATAAGCCTTTGATGTGAGCAGGTAACAGGCGAATGACCTTAGGGCTTTGCATTGCTAATAGGAAGGGAGGCTAATGGAGTCAGTTGATGAGGATAACAAAAGAAGCTGTTGATGCAAACTGTGGATGCGTGAAGGTGTTTTTAGGTAATAAATTACTGCAGCAATAAGCCACCGGGGCAGCTTGTTAGCACACCTGTTAGTGATGGCAAAGGAACCTCTGAAGAGTGGGAATCTCAAAATAAGTGGGTCTGGGAGGACAGATATGGAGAAGGGCAAACTCCCAGAGGTGAATATGCATAAGGGGACACAGGATGCTCCCCAGCACAGCGCCCCTGAAAAGAACGGGATGCCAGGACGGTAACTCCCTGCCCCCTCACCTGCTTCGGGTCTCTCCCTACAGGGGTAGAACGAATGGTGGCTGTTTTGCACGGCTTCCCTCTCCTCCGTCCGTGTGCAGTCCTGCTCTTTTATTTGGTCTCGTAAGGCAAGCAACGTTTTACCCAGCTCTGACTCATGGGTCTCAGGGGCCCTCGATTCCATTGCAAGGGGCAAACCCCAGCAAGTCAGCGGCTGGTGAAGAACTGATTTGTGTTAACGGGTCGAAGGAGGAATCAGGCCACAGTATCTTATGTAGTTCCCCAAAGTGGAGCAGGTACTGGCTGACCACCGGGTATCTCCGTAAACAGGCTTGGCAGAAACCGCCATGGGGAGGTACCACCTCTCTTCCCATCCCAGCAGTCACAAGGACAAGTGCTGGGCTGGACTCCACTTCCGCATGCCCCGTTTGTGTCCCGGGGGGATTCACTGCTCCCCTCCAGGAAGATGTGCACTGCTGCTGCTGGTAGCCAGGGCTGCGGTACCGCGATGGGCACTGGACCCTAATCCCCTGCCCTGCCTCTGACTGCATAGGGGGCTGCCTTGTCTCCTCTCCCTGAGGCCAGGGCATTCGCAGGTCTCAGACCCTGCACTACAACTGGGTGTTTCTGTGGTTTTCCTAAATCCCTCCCCCCAGAATTCAGGGATGAGGGGTCTACACCAAGCATCTAAGCAACTGCAAGGCCCTATCCAGTCTCAGCCCTGTCCCATGCACGTGCTCTTCAGCTGCTCCCACTACCCCGGATACCTCAGCAGGCTCCTTCAGCTCTGGCACTGACTGACCTGCCCAATACTCTCCGTGCCATCCCCATCCAGGGGACTCTCCCCCTTTCCTCACCTCCCACCTTGCATCAACGCCTCTTTTTCCAGTACCCCCACCCCAGTCCCTGCCCTCCCTCCCTCCTCTGGTAACACACCCAGGCTGCAACACCAGATGCTCCATCCACCCTCAACACACAGTCTGTTGCCACCTGCCCCACAGAGAGTAGATGCTAAGCGTAGCCCCATCTCTCCCTCCAACTACCTGGTGCCCTGGGATGCTCTGTCCACAAAACTCACATGTGCCAGGGTCTGTCGGGACCCCCTTCTCATCAGTGATCCCCTGGTTTGCAGCTGGCGTCTCCTCGTATTTATTCCATGAGCTCTCGGTGGGAGTAGAACCAGGAAATCCTGTTCACAGGGAAGAGAATTGAACAGTGCTTTGCTAACCCTGGCTGTGGCTTTCCAGGAGTGATGGCAAGTGGGATTGGAGCTAGGTAGGAGAGGAAAACGTGGACAAAACTCATCAGAAGGGATAAGTGCCAGGGCTCCGGCTCCTTTCTCTCACTGTTTCTGATGGGTTTCAGGCTGTTACTCACCCATATTGGGATCTCTAGGGGTTTCTCTTCCCTCAAAGTCTCCCTGGTCCCCGTCACTGGGATCGTCCCCTTGCTCAATGCGGGACAGAAGGTCGGGCTTGGAGATGGCAGCATCTGCATATGGAAAAGGGTCAGAATATTTTCCTCCTGCTCAAGGCACATGAGGCAGGATACACCCCGGCACCGAAGACCGGCCTCCTTACACGGCCAGGAGAGGTAATGAGAAAGGAGCTAAAGGGGCCTTCACATGGCTCGTGGGGGCAGGGGTGCTCCTGATCATGCCACGGTCTTGAGGGGTGAGAGGGAAATCTGCCTGTGCTCCCCAAGGGCTCTGCTTTATTATTCTCTGTGCAATGGTCAGGGGCTGCTCTTTTCCAGCCTGCTTGAAGTGGGGCAGAAGTGACCCTGCTGGACTGGGCTGTAACAAAAGCTGTACTCTGTGCTCAGAGCCAGCAAAGCTCCCGGATGTCACAGAAGAGGGGAAGAGAGGCTGGAGACAGAAACGTCCTTTTGTCTCTGTTTTGTTTCACCGAGCTCCCTCTCTGAAGCATACGGGGGCACCTGGTACCTATGAAAAGCAAGCAGAGCCGCGGGGGACAATTTCCTGTGGCCACAGGACGCTGGCAGAATATCGAGCCACATGAAATGGAGGGTCCTGCTTTCTACAAGAGGGAACACTGGCTCTGCTACGAGGCTGAGGACACTGCAGGGCACTCCAGGAGGTGGGAGCTGCCCCTCCCGCAGGCTGATAGACCCCTGCAACGGACCTGTGGACCTTAGCACAAGCACCCATGCCCCCCTCTCCTTAGTGAACACCACTCTTCCACCTGCACCAGCCTAATGAGACCACCCACTGGTACCTCTTCTCTCCTCTCCACGATCTCGTGGTGCTGCCGAGGAGCACAACTGCAGCACAGTTGGCATCGGGATACCCACCTGCTGCTAAAATAACAAGGACCGAAAGTCCAGGCTGCCCAGAACCCGCCACCACCTGGGTGAATGTCTCGCTATCCCACTGCCTGACCCCACCAGCCCTCTCTGACCCTCCAGTGTGTGGGCAGTACTGGAGCTGATGTAACGGCGACTCTGAAAACCTGGTGCCTCAGAGAACTTGCAGCTTCACACAAAGAAGCGAACCCAGTCAATCTTTACCCAGCGAGATCACAGCCTCATAGTTGCCTTTCATGATGTGCCTGTACAGCTCCTTCTGCCACTCGTTCAAGTTTTTCCACTCCTGCTCTGAGAAATTGAATGAGGCGTCGTTGAACATCACCGGGACCTGCAATCACAAGCGGGGAGCGGATCAGTCACTCTGGTTCTGGCTGAGAACATCCCACATCTAAGGAAGCAATTCTTCCCCTCTATTCAGCACGGGTGAGGCCACATCTGGAGTCCTGTGTCCAGTTTTGGGCCCCCCACTAGTGGACAAAGTGGAGACAGTCCAGTGGAGGTCAACAAAAATGGTTGGGGGGCTGGGGTACATGACGTATAACGAGAGGCTGAGGGAAATGGGCAGATTTAGTCTGCAGAAGGGAAGACCGAGGGGGATTGAATAGCAGCCTTCACCTCCCTGCAGGGGGGCTGCAAAGAGGATGGAGCTGGGCTGTTCTCAGTGGGGGCAGATGGCAGGACAAGGAGCAACGGGCTCAAGCTGCAGCAAGGGAAGTTGAGGTTGGATATTAGGGAAAACTTTGTCACCAGAAGGGTGGTGAAGCACTGGGACAGGCTCCTCAGAGAGGTGGTGCAGTCTCCGTCTTTGGAGATGTTTAAGACCCAGCTAGACAAAGCCCTGGCTGGGATGATGTAGTTAGGGCTGGTCCTGCCTGGAGCAGGGGTTGGACTAGATGTGACCTCCTGAGATCCCTTCCAGCCCCCGTTGTCTGTGATTCTGCAATCCTGCCCCAGGCGCTGTGCGGGACTGTGCTGCGATTACAGAGCGGGGCCTCCGAGCAGCACACATGTAATTCTGCAGGAGCGAAGGGTCTGACCACTTAAGCTGCAAACCTATTTTGCAAGCACCCAGAGCAGCAGCCTGCTTTCCCCCCCATGCCTGTCTGCCTGGTACTTGGGGCATAAATACAAACAGGCTGAACTGCACTGGGCACTTTGCATATTCAGCTTCTCACAGCGGAGGCTTTGGTTAGCAAATAGTGTTTCAACTGGCCAGTCTGGGCTTCCTCGAGGTGTCAGGACTGTATTGAACTCCCCAATGAGAAACAGAGTTGGTCGCTGCGTGGCATTTATACCATGAATTCTCCGTGTGCAAGAGGTGGGGCACAAAAGAGGAAGAGGAACGCTCTTACTTCTGCCTCGCCTGTGCGCTGGCTGGCTCGTTTCCAATCTCTCAGTCAATTTGGAAAAGCCTCCCCTTAACCTGGGCTTGGTTTTTAAGGCCCGGCTCAAGAAACCCCTAGTTGGAAGGATGTAATTGGGGCTGGTCCTGCTTAGAGCAGAGGCTTGGACTAGAAAATGAGGGTTGGAAGGGACCCTCCAACAACGGTTGGAAGTGGAAGTCGCTCCTGAGGTCCCCTCCAACTCTCCTTTTCTACGATGGGAGAGCAAGGTGTGACACGGAAAGACCCTATTCGGTTTGGGAAGCAATGGGAGAAAGGGAAGGGATTGCAGGGCAGCCCCGTAAGGGGACGAGAAAGGCTGCACACGGAGGCTCCTGACAGCAAAACGGCGAGTGCACAATACTGGCAGGACCGGAAAAGCCCCTTCGGCGCCTGATAGGGACGAGTTGGGATGTCCTCACCTTGGGGATCTCCCCTTTGGCGCCGGGCGGCAGCCGCAGGATCCAGAAGTTCCTGTTCTTGAGCAGGTTCTCCATGTTCTCCAGCCTCTTCTGCAGCTGCCCGTACTCCTGGATCAGGGTGCCCAGCGCCGTCCACTTGCTCTCCAGCTGGTTGCCGAACTCCACCGCCGTCTTCTCGCAGCCGATCAGCTTGGTTTCGGCCATCCGCATCCGGCCCTCCAGGTTCATCAGCTTTGCCGCTTGGGAATCCACCTTCCTGTCCACCGCCTGGATCTCGGCCACCAGCGTCAAGGAAATCTCTGCCGTCGGCAGGTCGGCCTCGCCCACGGGAGGCTGCTCGGGGACGTCGAGGGGCTGCACGAGGCACAGGTCCTGGGACTCCATGTCCCAGTCCAGATCCTGTTTGCCAAGACGAAGAAGAGAAATGAGGCCGTGTCCCGCCCCAGCCGCGTACGGACAGACATCAATTATCCTGGGATTAAATGATATCGGCGTCGGACGCTCTGCGCTAACAGCAGCTCGGACTCGGCTTCGTCTGGGGAGCGCAGCGAAGGACCTTGTACCGCGGCCGGCCCGCCCAAGGTCACCTCGCCCGGCCCGGCCCGGCCCCCAGGCCCCGCGCCGGACTCGTCCCCTCGAAGCGCGGGGCCAAAACCCCATTCCCGGCGCCCCCGCGACCGCCGCCCGGTGACACATCGGGCCCCGCCACAC